AGCAATGTTTCCTCTTCCTTGTGTTATTTATACCCTGGGCATCACTAGCCAAACTCTCAGAATCTTCAGAATCCTCTGGAGACCTTATTGGATTGGGTGGAAAGAGGAGAGACATATTTAGAGCAAGAGGAGGAAGCAGTGGACAAGGAACAGATAAATCAGATAAATTCAGCAGAAAGGGGAGGAGGTAATGGAACCTGGATGTTTCCTGTATCCTCCAGTTCTCTGCTACCTAGTAAGGCAGGTACCCTGAAGCTAAAATAACAGCATATTGGAGGGAACCCTGACTCATGCTACCAGCTACTAGACCCTGTCTAAAGGGAAGCAAGATCACCTTGATGAATTAAAGGAGTGAAGGAGGGTCTTAGGAAGCAGGGCTTTAGGTGCAATAAGCATCCTAAAGTTGAATTTCAAATAAATCCCATCAGAAAAGGTTTTTACACATCGCGTCACATTCAGTGATAAGAAACTGCACTTTAATACTGAACCATTACATTTTTGACAGGACTAAAGTACTTACCACAATGATAGAAATAATCATTTTTAAGGAACATGGCATATTCTATTCAAAACAACTGATTTGTTATGAAGTATTTAAGGGTCAACCAGTTTGTAAGCTGAAGAGTTATTGAAACCGTTTTGAAGTAAAGCAGCAAGTTTAGCAAGTTGCATGGGGTCTTACTATGTACCTTTTTAATCCTCTAGTACTGCCCAGTCAGACTTGAAAACATCCCCAAGTGAACGCATCAGTGTAAGGTAATAAGACATAAATGATTTGTGGTGTGTGGGGTGGGGGGTGGAATTTGGGATAGTCACTGTCAGGAGCACCCATGAGAATACTTAGTTCCTTCCATGCCATTCCTAATGGTCCTTTCATGGGAAGCTTCGGTATGTAATACTCTTTGTTTGAATCATCATAGAAAGAAGAAGCATAGTTTGAAAAAGGATTCTTCTTACTCTTACTGTTTACTTCACTTACTTCTCTTGTTACTTACTGCTTACTTCACCCTGAGTTTGTAGCAGCCAAACCTTTAGGAAAGTATCAGAATGTCTGTATGACACTATTAGAGCAGGCCAACACTGCAGAGAAAGCCATCGGGATGGACCAAGGAAGTGGCAATGACAGCAGTGAGGTGCCCTCAGCAGAAAAGAATAAAGCTAATGCATCCTGGATGTATCCTTCACTCTCCAGAGCTGTGCCACCATGTGAGGCTGGTGCCTACCCACAAAAAATGGAGCTGCCACCTCAGGTCTGCTTGACCTTACCTGAGAGGCTATAGAGACAATGTGATTCATGGAGATTGAGATGGTGAATGTACTTGATGAGGCGTGAAATTGGATGGGACAGGAGAATAGGTATCTGCAAATCAGGGTGAATTTTACTTTTTGACATATCTATGGTTTACTTTTTAAATTGATTTGTTTAAAAGTCAACAGTTTCTAAGTTAATGAGTAATTGTAACTAATTGAACCAAGATAAAATCTAGGAAATTATGTTGTATCTGATACATATTTTTAATCCTTCAGCACTCCATTAAGTCAGTCAACAGTAATATCTGTTGATGAAGACGTCGATGAAACGTGAGCTCTATATAAACAAATATATATTTGATTATGTAAACCAATACACATATAACTAGACACACACTCATACACATGTATACCCAGAGAGATGGAGATTTGATAATTTCATTGTCAGCAGCATCAGTGACAATACAGCATGTCTTTGACATATTTTTCTAAAGTCTCCTTTTATCTGTAGGTAGCTTTATGTTTATTATTTTCAGCTTGAAAATTTAATAATTTTAGTATTTTGCCACATTCACTTCATATGTGGAGATTATATACATATATTATTTGTTCTTTTAAATTGTTTTATTTATTTGAAAGAGTTACAGAGAAGAGAGAGAGAGAGAGAGAGACGAGAGAGAGAGAGAGAAGACTTCCATTCACTGGTTTACTCCCCAAATGGTCACATCTGCCAGTGCCGATGCTGATCTTAAGCTAGGAGCCTGGAGCTTCCTCAGGGTCTTCCACACGGATACAGGGGCACAAGTACTTGGGCCATATTCAGAGCTTCCCAGGCACATGGCAGTGACTTGATTGGAAGTCAAGTAGCCAGGACTTGAACTGGTCCCCATTAGGGATGCTGGAGCTGCAGGCGGGGCTTTAACCTGCTGTGCCACAGCCCAGCCTCTACTCATTTTTTCTTGAAAACAGATATATAGAGAAAGTGAGGGACTCATGATCATAATCATAATGTGAAAAAGGACATATTGTCATGTATATGGTATGAATCAGTGAAACAATTATTTATAATTGTAATTGTAATGTAATTGTAATTGTAATGGCCAAATGATATGCCAGCCATGCAATTTTTATACTCTCCCATAATATTAACTTCTGCAAGTAAAACATGTGATATTTGTTTTTCATTGTCTGCTTTACTTTTTTTAAAGATTCATTTTATTTATTTGAAAGACAGAGTTACAGAGAGAGGTAGAGACAGAGAGGTTGGTCTTCCATCCACTGGTTCACTCCCCAGATGGCCACAAAGGCCAGAGCTGTGCTGATCTGAAGCCAGAATCCAGGAGCTTCTTCCGGGTCTCCCACATAGGTGCATGGGCCCAAGGTCTTGGGCCATCTTGTACTGCTTTCCCAGGCCATAACAGAGCTGGATTGGAAGAGGAGCAGCCGGGACTAGAACCAGCGCCCACATGGGATGCCACAGCTTCAGGCTAGGGCTTTAACCCTCTGTGCCACAATGCCGGCCCATGGTCTGCTTTATTTACATAGTCTAATGATCTCCAGTTCGATGCATTTTGTTGCAAAGGTCAGGATTGCATTCTTCGTTGTGGCTGTGAATATTCCATTGGGCGTACATGCCACATTTTGTTTTTCTAAACATTTTATTAAAATAGTTATACCACATTTTCACTACCTGTCACCATTTGATGGTCATCTAGGTTGCTTCCATGTTTTTATTATTGTCAATTATTGAGCCGCTATATATATGAGTGCGGCTACATCTTTCATATACTGATTTAATTTGCCTTGCATATATTCCCAGGAGTGTGCTGTCAGGATCACATAGATCTATTTTAGTTTCCTGAGGAATATTCTTCATGTTGTCCATATGATTGATCCAATTTGCATTGCCTCCAACACTGTTTGAAGCTGCATTTAAACTTTGATAAGAACAAAATAGTCTGAATTGTATATTTACTCTGGATAGTTTTGAAAAGATGCAGAAAAAGAATAGAGAGGCTAGTGTCATTCCTAGCTACTCCTTTGTGCCTCCATGTTTCTGTCAAGCATGGTTCTCTATGGCCCCACTCTTAAGCAATTTCAGGGTTGTAACAATTCTTTGCTTCCTGGAGATCCAGTGTACTGCAGGTAGTCAGAAAGGGCTTGTAGTAAGAGGATGCCTACCTCAAGGTAAATTTTACTTTTTTAATCAATCAGTTGCCCATCTACCTAAGTCTTAGCTCCTTAGTCTGGGTGGAAAGTGGGTGGGTGCAGGTGGATGAGGGAGATAATAAAGTATTGAAGATTTCTTATATCTCAGGTTAACCTAACAACATTCATCCGTGTCCCAAGTTCTCTGCTCAGTATCTGTTCTCTCCATTCTCCAGTTTTGGGCATAGGCTATCAGAGCTGTGTTGGGATTCATTCCATATGGGATGGAATTTGGGTCTTGCATTGGAGGTTTCAGCAGGGTAGGAAATTGGTCCCCATTAGTTACCTGTGTCTGCAGCCATCTGGTAAAATGGAGCATCACTGGAGCCTACAGAAACCAGGTTTTCCCTCCTGTGATGAATGGAAGGCACTCAGTCTTTAGGATGTTTTTTCCTTGGAAATATGTGCCTAACTTCCTTACCTCCAAAGTACATTTGCAACACCAACTGTAGCTCTCATTAATGATTTTTTGTTCATGGGAATCTAGATGCAACAAATGAACATTATAGGATAAGAATACCATTTATTCCTGTTGCCCACCCTGAAATCTCTTACTACTGTGGAAACCTGAGGCTTAGTGCAAATCTGGTGACCTGCCCACAACACCCTAGCTCATTAATGGAAGAGTTGGTGTGAGAATACAGTTCTACCTTACCACTCTCTTGTCCATACCATGTGCATAGTTTATGTCCTTATGTTCAATATTACCATTTAGAGTCATGGCTTTACACCTAAGGGAAATATTACTAAATATCCAAAGCTTAGTGTTTTATTCACACACGAAACCTCATGTTGCAGAAAGCTAAACAAATTTATTATTAGCCAAAAAAGCACTTTGTTTCACAACTTCTGAATTTTTTCTTGTAAATTATGATTTAAGGGCCATTCTGAATTAAACCTTAATGTATTTTAAAGGAAACCTGTGATTGATTGTATATTTCCTCCTTTTTGCAGCAGCAAGATGAAGAACACTACTCGTTTAATTGTATCAGCCTTTGCATTCAGGTGATACTTTAAAAAGAATGTATTTTAATATGAATATTTAATATCATTATTAAATGGGAAATTATATGAAAACAAAATAGAAATATTTCAAACATACACACACACATATATATACATATAGATATATACATAGTATATATATATACTCTGTGCTTCCCTTTCATGTAATCTCATTTGTTTTGGAAGTCTGGGCTTAAGCTGGGACATCAGGACTTGCAAAGAAATAGCATCTGCTAAGGTCTAACAGTAATATATTAATGTTTTTTCTACCTGTATAAGTGAAAATAACGAAGCACACATTATAAATATTGTAGGGCATTTTAGTAAATACAATACAGAATGAGAATTATATTCTTAATTTTGGAAACATTTTACTTAGTTTCTTTCTGTACATAAGAGGAACTAGTACATATACTTGTTCCTCTACTATACAAAAATGTACATAAACTCTGAACAAAAAGTATATAAAGAAGATTTCATATAATTTTATGGAATATAAATAATTCTTTCCTTTTAAATTAATATTTTCATTTGAGTTGGAATTATTAAGTACTCTGATGATTAGTTAATCTTCACAGGCTATATAATATAATCAGTTTATAGGGAATGTGTTTTAGAAGTTTAAGAGAAAGGTTTAGGAGGCACTTTAGAGTACAGCATTCAAAATACTGATAGAATTGAATTCTGTCTTATGCTGAGAATTACTGGGCCAAGAAGCACCCATGAATTTGTAATCATATACTTGTTGAAAAACTCACTGATAAAAAAAATCTTACTAGTCAAAGTGGTCTTTTAAGGCCTTGCATGTTGAGTATGCCTCACTTGGTTTTTATTAAGTATTCTTCAGATTAATGAGGTTTCAACTTTATGAGAAATTTATATGAAATTCCTTAGAAATTCTAAATTAGAAGAATAATTTACTAAAAGAGACATACAATTCTAATTTTGTTTTCCTGCTGTGTCTTGAGGAGTCAGTATGATATGCATACTATAAGAAGACAAGATAACATGCTGTAAAATGGGCTGCCTGAGAATTTTATTCACAGCTAATGCTTTGATTGTGTGAAAACTGAGTAATTTTTTGAGATTCTGAGGCCACATAGTCTTTCCCTTTACTTGATGGTTTAAGCCTAAATACTCACATACTGATATCTGATTATTGAACTAAACATAGCCCAACTATATGGACAGAAATCTCTTTATCGTGTATTATCATTATTTACATTTTGTTCTTTATAGAGTATTTGGAATCCTGCTCATCTTTGTGGACATATTTCTCATCATGTCAGATGTAATTTCAATGATAACAAAATAGTTTTCGAATGCCATTCAATTTCTTGGCTATTGCATTCTTTTTTTTCTTGATGTTCTACTCAGAGTTGTATGTTGAGGGGTAAGTTTGATTCCTTTTTTTCTTAGCACACAAAGTAATTTTTTTACACATGATCTTAGCCAAAACTGCCTAGAAACAACAACAAGTAAATTTTAAAAAGTATTTTTATTTATTTATTTGGAAGTCAGAGTTACACAGAGAGAGGAGATGCAGAGTGGGGGGGGTCTTCCATCCAATGTTTAACTCCCCAGTTGGCCACAACGGCCGGAGATGTGCTGATCCAAACCCAGGTGCTGGGACCCTTCCTCCAGGTCTCCCATGCAGATGCAGGGGCCCAACGACTTGGGCCATCTTCTACTGCTTTCCTAGGCCATAGCCGAGAGCTGGATAGGAAGTGGAGCATCTGGGTCTCGAACCAATGCCCATATGGGTTGCCAGTGCTTCAGGCCAGGGCATTAGCCCACTGCGCCACAGTGCCAGCCCCAACACATAAAGTAATTTATGTTATCATGAAACACATCCCAAAATAATTGGTTGGTCAGTCCAACCAAATGTGTACCTCTTATCAAAATCTTTCTTCTGACACGCAAAGTCCATAGAGAAACAGCAATTCAAATCCCAGTTTTTCGCCAATTGGATGTTAATAGTATATAGTCTCCAACGGAATATTGTAGAAGCTTCTTTGAATAGATAAAGAGGATGCAAAATAGAACCAGCAGCTGATGTGTCCACATGCACATTAACAAGGAGAACATGTGTTGAATATAGATAACAAAAATTCTCAACAAAATATGAACAAGTTGATTTCAGCAGCACATCAAAAGGATCATTCACCATGATCAAGTAGGATTTATCCCAGGGATGCAAGGATGATGGCAAACGTCAATCAATTAACATGATATACCACATCAAGGTAATGGATAAAATCCTGATCATCTTGATAGATACAGAAAGAGCATTCAGTAAAATTCAACATCAGTTCATAATAAAAACTCTGAACAAATGAGGTATTATGAGGAATGTACCTCAATAATAAAGGCTATAGGTGAAAAACTGATAGCCAACATTGCACCGATTGGAGAAAAGCTGAAAGCAGTTCTTCTAAGATTCTGGAATTACACAAGGCTGTCCTCTCTCAGTACTTTTATTCAGAACAATACTGAAAGTTTTGGCAAGATTCATTAGGCAAGAGAAAAAACTAAAAGGCATATAGGAAGGGGAAGTCAAATTATACATATTGGTAGATGATATAATCATCTAAAGACCCCACCAAAAGAATGTCAAAAATAATAAACAAATTCAGTAAAGTTGGAGGACACTAAATCAACCTGGAAAAATCGGTAACATTTAAAAGGATTTCTTTATTTAAAAGCATACTACCAGAAAGAGAGCAAAAGGCAGAGACAGAGACAAGATCTTCTACCTGCTGGTTCACTCCCCAATGGCCATGTCTAGGCCAGGACTAGGCCCGGCTGAAGACAGAATCCAGGAACTTCATCTTTGTCTTCCACATGGGTGATAGGGGCCTAAGTATTTGAGCTATCATCTGCTGCCTTCCCAGGCACATTAGAAGCTGCAACGAGCAATAGCTGGGATTCAAACCAGGCAGTCCAATATGGGATGTGGGTGTCCCAAGCAGTTCCTTAACTGCTGCACCACAATGCCTGATCCACTGGCAGTCTGTTATATACCAATAATGAACTTGCTGAGAAGGAAATCATAAAAACAATCATGCATGATTCAATTTTTTAAAGAAAGCATCATGGAGTAAAATTTAACCAAGGATGAGAAACACCTCTACAATGACAATTATTAAAACACTGATAAAGAAATTGAAGCACACACACACGTACCAACAGAATGAGGTCCCATATTTGTGGGTTGCAAGAGTTAAGATAATCGTGAATTTACAGATTTGTATAATCGCCATCAAAATACCAATGCCATTGTTTACATAACTAGAAAAAATCCTAAAATTCACATAAAAGCACAAAAGACTCCAAATAACCAAAGTAATCTTGAACAAAAAGAACAAACCTTAAAGCATCACAAGCATAATATTAAATGATAGTAACCAAAATATCATGGTATTGGCATAAGGATACATAGAGCAATGAAACAGAACAGGGATCCCAAAATTAAATCCACACATCTATAACCAACTGATTCTCAACTAAGTCACCAAAAATATACCATGGAAAAATGACAATCTCCTCTATACATGATGCTGGGAAAGCTGAATATCCATAGACAAAAGATTAAAGTATCACCCTTCCCTACTTCTCACCCTATACAAATATCAACTCAATACAGATCAATCTAAATATAAGGCCAGATACTGTGAAACACCTAGAAGAAATCATAGGAAAACACTTGAAGGCATCAATATAGGCAATGGGTTTTTGGATAAGACCACAAAGTACAATCAACAAAAGCAAAAATAATAAATGGAATTTTATTAATCAAAAAAGCTTCTGCCTGGTCAAAGAAACAATCATCATAGTGAAGAGATGGGAGAAAGATTTGTAAACTATATATCTGACAGAGAATTAATATCTAGAATATGTAAGGAAGTAAATGAAGTCCACAGAAAAATTCAGATTCCAAAAAAGATTTATTTGAAAGGCAAAGTTACACAGAAATAAGAACATGTATATGAAGTACAAATATTGGTACCTTTATTAAGAGTTGACTCATGGTGCTGGCACTGACTCAGTGAGCTAGGCTGCCACTTTGCAATGCCAGCCTCCCATGTCAGAGAAACAGTTTGAGTCCCAGCTGTTCCACTTCTGATCCAGCTCTCTGATAATACTTCTCTGAAAGCAGTGGAAGATGGCCCAAGTATTTGGTCCTGCCACCACATGAAAGACTTAGATGGAGTTCTCGGCTACTGCCTTTGGCCTGGCCCACTCTTAGCCATTGCTATCACTTGGGGAGTGAACCAGAAGATGAAACATTCTGTCTCTCTCTTTCTGTCTCTGTCTCTTTCTATGTGTCTTTGTCACTCTGCCATTCGAAAAAATATTTAAAAAATAACTGAATCATAAATGACATTTAACAGTATACTAAGTACTAGACAATAAATCATAAATCACCCTGTGTCTTATCTCAGGATGAAAATTTTGGAGCTGGCACTGTGGTACAGTGGGTTTAGCTGCCACCTGCAGTGCCGACATCCCATATGGCAACTGGTTAGAATCCTGGCTGCTCTACTTCCAGTCCAGTCCTCTGCTAATGCACCTGGGACAGCAGTGGAAGATGACCCAAGTCCCTAGGCCACTGCACCCATGTGGGAGACCTGGAGGAAGCTCCTGGCTCTGGCCTGGCAGAGCCCTAGCTGTTTGGGCAATTTAGGAGAGTGAATCAGCAGACAGGAGATCTCTCTCACTCGCTCTTTCCCCTTCTCTTTCTCTCTGTAACTCTCTGCCCTTCAAATAAATAATCTATAAAAAAAAAAGAATGCAAATTTTAGTGAGGTGAAGAGGAGACATGAAGCATGCTCATCCCATTAGAGGGCCTTGGTAGTGAAGCAGTGGTCACTTTTTCTCTGCCAGCTTTCTGAGAAGGTGTGTGGTATGAGCCAAGCCTTGGACATGACCAATAGGGGAGTCAAGAACTAAGTTCTCCAGCCTCCTTTCATCTAGAGGTCTCAGAAGGCAGTTGTCTCCTCTGTTGACTCCCCATCCTCATGCCATTGAACTAAGCAGAGTTGCCCAAAATCAGGTTTCTCAGACCCTGAAAGGGGCCTCCTTGACTCAGAAAGAGCATTTCCTGGAGAACAAATGCCCATGTCTGAAGGAGCCACTTTGAGGAGGAAGCTGTGGTGAATGGAGTTCATCTTTGCCTAAAGGAGGCTACAGAAGCCTGCTGGTATTCCAGTGTGGGTTCAGAGCCAGAATGTGAGTTTGCAGGTCTAAATAGTGGATGCTTCTTCATCTCATAAGCTTCTCTGTTATAACTCCTCACGGCTCCAGGTGCTCTAATAGTGTGACATATTCAACTTCCATTTCCCAATAGTACTGCCCAATATCCCACATTTCTTCTGTCACCCACATGAAATCAATGCTTACCTCTTATTCTGTGGTTCTCCTCTATCTCTTACTACACTGAAACTGCCATAGTAAAGCTTTAGTTATACATATGAATCTATTAATGAATATAAATTTCCTATATGTAAAATTTCCATTCACATTTCATTTTTATCAAAGTTGAATCTAGAAATTTCATCTTAAATAATTATTGAAAGGAGAATGTTTAATGGCAATGAGTCAAATAATATGTACTTTTAAAATATTCCTATCTTGTGAGGGACAAACTTTTTTTATATTGCAGGAGGAAGACATATTTTACTGATCTATTTAACATCTTAGATGCTGTCATTATTGCAATAACTCTCTTGATCGATACCATTTACTTCTTTTTTGACCTAAGATTTCTGAAAGACGTACCAAGGTATGAAACATATGATATATCTCTCAGTTTTTTCTTTTCCTTTTTCTATTTTCTGTGGTAATTATTCCACATAGTCTTTTCAACTTGGAATATTCTGATTCTGTACCAAATAAGCTACTTAAAAAGAAATCTTAGATAAATTTCCATGCACTTCAACCTTTCATTTTAGCATAGGCAAAATTCAAATAACTTTAATCATGAGTCTCAAAGAACAGCAAACAAAACAGAAAAATAGTAAGTGTTGTGGATAGCAATGCAGAGGTAGTTTTGCAGTATAGTTATTGTAGAAATTAGGAAAGCTGAGGCAAAGTTAAAACTGTTCAGGATTAGGCAATTAATTTTTTCTACTGGAGCAATGAGGAACAGAAGCAAATATGATTTGGGATGTACATATAGTGGGTGGGAGCTCACCAGGCTTATCCATTAGTCAAATAGCTGACTTTCTTCTGTATTCCAGCTTCCCTTGGCTTCAATTCAGACCCAATTAACTGTGTTATGTGTTAGGCTTTGGAGTTGTTTGAAAATAACATGAGCCACAGGTGGGGGTGGGCAGGACCACTATGTTCTTAAATCTGTATATATGAAATACATGAAATTGTACAGCTCAAATAAAATTTAAAAAAAAGAAAATAGCATAAGCCAATGTGGTCTTCAATAAGAAACCTGAGCAGCTAGGAGAAAAATACCTTGGTCCCAATTCCATACCTACTAAATCTGTATCTCTGGGACCCAAACAAGCTATCTTTAAACAAGCTCTTTCAGGTGATGCATTTATGTGTGCCCAAGTTAGAAAAGTATTAGTCCGGAATATTAGTTCCCGGATAGCCCACTTGGGAAGGGTGTCAATTTGTTGTATGTTTGATGTTCATTCGCAGTGGTAGTGAACCTATGTTACTGATGGGAATAACTGTTGAATAATAAGCTTGTTTTGCTGGGGAAAACTTGAAAATTTCTTCAACTGTAAATGTTGAATAAACAAATTCTAAGAACTTATTATCACTTTTCTAGGATGAATTTCTCAACTTTATTATTATGGGCAGTTTAAGTTGGATAATTCTTTGTTAGGGGGAAGGGGGAAATTTTATTTATTGTATGGTATTTGGCAGCAATCTTGGCATTTATCTACTAGATGTGAGTAGCACCCCATACCAGCAGCTGTGACAATCCCAAATGTCTCCAGATCATGCCAGGATGGCCAGGGGCAGGTGGCATAAGTGCCCCTGGTTAAGAACCACTGCTTCCAAACTTTGTCTATCCGGATAAAATCTTGTTTCTAAAACAAAAAATGTATCTTTTAAATGTTTGTTAGGGTGGCCGTTCTGCTTCGACCTCTACGCCTTATAATTTTGGTAAGAGTTTTCCATCTGGCTTACCAAAACAGACAACTCCAAAAGCTGACCAGAAGACTGGTGAGTGGGCAAAACTTGTGTTTTGGGACATAATGGCAAGGGATGTAGATACCTATATAATGTTCTTCACTTCTAAGTTGATTTGTGTTTGACAAGTTAATTATTGTTTTGAACTCTCAGGTTTCAGAAAACAAAAGGCGATACAGGAGAGATGGATTTGACCTAGATCTCACTTACATAACTGGTTTGTTAAGCTTAGCTATTGATTTACTTACATTGTCCTACTTTTCTTGTGTGCAAATTTTTATTTTGCTTTTGCTTTTTCTAAGCCATATTCTTCCATTTTTCCCCCCACAAAGACATATGCCAGTGAGATGGTATGACATATCTGTAGTTTAACTCTCACAATGGAAGCTCTCCACATCATACCAAATCAGGGATACTTGACTGCTCTAGAGAAAGTTGAATGATTTTCAGTTTCTTGAGAATTTATTGAGTTCGGATAGTTCTCTTGGGTCTTACAGATCCAGAGAGTCCTCTTCTCTTCTTAGAATACCAGAGATGGAGGCCACTGCATTGCAGGTCTTAAAAGTCTTCTGAGTCAGGAGTGTTGAAACCCTGGAAGTTCCCACAATCACCAGAACCCAGACCTCTCAGTTTTCCTTTGGTGCTTAACGAGGTGCTCCAGAATGAGCTCAACACAACTCTGGCATATTACTAGAATCAACTGAGTCTTAGGACACCATGACATTTAACTGGTCATTACACTGGGTAATTTAGTATATTCTCTTGGTTATCCTGTGTCTGGGATAGCTTTTTTCTGTCAACCTCAACCTTTAAAGTTTTTTTCAAAGTTTCCTTTATTGTATTTGAAAGGCAGAGTTACAGTGACAGGGAGAGGGGAACAGAGAGAAAGAAAAAAGAGAGAGAGAGAAAGAGACAGAGAAATATTTGCCATTCACTGGTTCACTCCCCAAATGGCTGTACTGGTGAGGGCTGAGCCAGGCCCAAGACAGGAGCCAGGAGCCAGGAGCCAGGAGCTTCATCTGGGTCTCCCACATAGGTGGCAAAAACTCAAGTACTTGAGCTATCTTCTGCTGCTTTCCCAGGCATGTTAGTAGGGAGCTGGATGAACAGTTGGGATTCAAACTGACACCCATCTGGGATGTCTGCCTCACAGGAAGCGGCTTAACCCAATATACCACTATGCCAACCCCTTGAAAGTTCTTTTCTGTAACAAAAGTCTAAACATACTTAAATTATTTTCACTATATTGTTCCACATCTATAATCACATTCATAATAGTGATTATCGTGATTTTTTAGATCGCATTATCGCCATGTCATTTCCATCTTCTGGAAAGCAGTCTTTCTACAGGAATCCAATTAAGGTAAGAGTTTTTATCTAATAAATACTCAATTTTCAGTGAACACAGATGTGGAGTCATAGTTTACTGTTGACCCAGGTTTGTCAGTCTTCCTCTGAAATCTTACTCTCTAACGTAAAACATCATAATGGATTATATCAGATAGTTTTTGCTGTATTTTAAGTAATAGCCAGTATTTTTAAAATTATATATACACACAGACCTATATTAGTTTTTAAAAGAAATGAACCAAAATGTCTTCATATAGCTATGACTTTTCTAAAATTTGATAAAATCTATCATTTTATGCATATACAGAGTAATACTATATACTTTGCCTTTTATTTATTTATATAATGCTTAGACCATAATAATCAGTTCATTATCGAAATGATATCTATTCAGAATTAATTTAAATAAGAACTATATGTTAACTGGGAATTAAGAATTTGGACAATAAATAAAATAAAGCTAGCTAACCAGCCAGTTTCCTCCTCTAGTGGCAGTAAACAATGCTTACTTGGAGTAGAGAATAATTTGAGTAGCCAAGCACACTGGTTAACTGTATGAAAGCCATCCATGGGTTAGACATGACTTGGACTACATGTACCTTCATATTCTATGAATCTCTTCTAGAAGCATGAGTGAGAGCCAAAAAGTAACAGCCATCATGTTTATATAACTAACTCCTGGGTCATTCCTAGGTTATGCTGGATAGTAAGATATGTGTCTGTCTCTTTTAGGAAGTTGTGAGGTTCCTGGATACCAAACATCGAAACCATTACCGAGTCTACAATCTATGCAGTATGTACATGACTTGATATTTTGCTACTATAGATAGAAAACAATTATGAATGTAAGAAGACAATTTCATTTCTACTTGTCATTTAATCATAAGCATTTGGTGGCAGTGAGGAGAGTGAGTTCAAAAATACTGATCTTGCTCAGGTACATTTAATAGGAAGATTGAGCTCAGTGGGTGCCCTTCAACAGAGACAAGCCTGTTAGAACCCAAGAGGCAGAAGTGGAGGTTTGGTCTACTCCAGTGGTTTTAGGGTTAAGAAAACTTTCTATTTTCCCTGGAACACTGCATTGAGGACACAGACCAAAAAAAGGAATTCTCTATCCACTAGGAGTGAGTTGTGATGACAGCAGTGTACTAAGTGGGAGTGGGGAGGATTGTCATTTTTAGTCCTTGTTTATACTCCTGTGGAACTGTTGTCTTCTTTTTACTTGTTGCATACTATGGTTAGTGGTGAATTACCCCTGTGATTACAGAGTAGACTAAAATTTTAAAAAAAGAAACTAAACCTTTAAAGAATATTAACAAATGATATCCTTAAGTTACCACTCTTGTCTCTCCTGAGTTTTTCCTCTATTTGTTTATTAAATGGACATTTTGCAAGGGAAAGAATTTTGGCCAGTTACACTGCCTTTGCCCCATTGTTTTCAACTATCTTACAATAGTATAATGAATTATCTGCTAAAAAGTTAAAGTAAAGGCTATTCAAAAGTCAGTTGGATCAGTAACTTATCCATAGAATAAGTCACTAATTTTTTTATGTTTTGAGGCCCTCAAGTTTTTTTAGAGCAGCTAGAGCCACTCAGAAAACTCCTTTGTTTTTTTTTTGTTTGTTTGTTTGTTTTATTTTTTTTTATTTTTTTGACAGGCAGAGTGGACAGTGAGAGAGAGAGACAGAGAGAAAGGTCTTCCTTTGCCGTTGGTTCACCCTCCAATGGCCACCGCGGCCGGCGCGCTGCGGCCGGCGCACCGCGCTGATCCGATGGCAGGAGCCAGGAGCCAGGTGCTTTTCCTGGTCTCCCATGGGGTGCAGGGCCCAAGCACCTGGGCCATCCTCCACTGCACTCCCTGACCACAGCAGAGAGCTGGCCTGGAAGAGGGGCAACCGGGACAGAATCCGGCGCCCCAACCGGGACTAGAACCCGGTGTGCCGGCGCCGCTAGGCGGAGGATTAGCCTAGTGAGCCGCGGCGCCGGCCAGAAAACTCCTTTTGATAAGGAATTTCAATAGAAAACTTTAACATGTTCATAACTCATCATTTATTATGTTATTAGTTATGAAAATATGACATCTGTATGATTTATTTTAGGTGAAAGAGCTTATAATCCTGAACATTTTCATAACAGAGTCCAAAGAATCATGATTGATGATCATAATGTCCCTACTCTCAGGTAACTTTTATGCAACACTGGCTATGAGAAGAGGGCCAGATACACTGGGCTTTATTGTTTTGGAAATATTTTAATTCAACTAAAAGTCTAACTTTTAAAATCAGCGAGATGGTGGTATTCTCCAAAGAAGTAAATATGTGGCTGGCTCAAGACAAGAAGAACGTAGTAGTGATTCACTGCAAAGGCGGCAAAGGTAATAGCATTTTTTCTTTTTTTCTAAAGAAATTCAAAATGTATATTAAAGTATAAAACAGATTCATCTTACTATCAAACAATATGAGTAAGGTTTAAAATTTAGAATTTTTTTAAAGATTTATTTATTTGAGAGGCAGAGTTACAGACAGGAGAGATGGGGAGGGCCTTCTACCCATTGGTTTACTCCCCATTTAGCTGCAATGGCCATAGCTGGGCAGATCCAAAGGCAGGAGGCAGGGCTGCTTCTGGGTTTCCCACATGGATGCAGGGGCCCAGGCTCATTAGTAGGGAGTTGGATTAAAGTACAGTAGCTGGGACTCTAACCCGTAATGGTATGCCAACAGCAGCAGGCAGTGACTTTACCTGCTGTACCACAGCACCAGCCCCTTAATATTGGAATTTTAAAAATTGAAATGGATGTATTTCTTTTTCTATACATATAGTCCATTGTTCTAACACCATCTACTGCATGTTATTTTATTCTCTATTAATTTCTAATCCCTCTCAGCCTTATCTCACCTTTCAGGAACTGACATATCCTCACTCACTTCATCTGCAGCTTCTATTAGTGAAGAGTTGTAATGTTCCTTTGGGGGACTCATATTGTCTTCCTTATTCTTATTTCAGGTTTTAGCTTTGTTTTCAGCATATGTGTGTATAAATATATATTACACACAAATATTTATAAACTTACAGAATTTCTCTTGTGAGATTTCTGTTATGTGCTGCTCTGTGTGCGTTTCAAGTGGAAGCACAGAGCACTATCTACTGGAGCCCTGTTCACCTGTAAATCATGGTGGAGTTGGGTGTGAGCTGTGGTGCACTTAGCCCCACCTTCTGAGACCCAGATGAGTTCTCAATGATGGATTTCATGGGCTCGAGTTTCCTTGTTGCCTGACTTGCATGGTGGGGAAGAGTCTCCTCTGAGATAGTGTGGACATCGCTCCTGTGTGGGAGGTGTCGTGGGATGGCTCCCACAGTTGATGTTTGTGTGTCTGGTAGGCCAAGGTCTATGTTCGAGAATGTAAACATTAAAGATGGCTTCTGTGGGCCAGCTGCAGGTCTGGATGGGCAGGGGGAAAAGGGGTCGGACAGCATAGTTCCAATCTGTTTGCTTTTTTTATACCTTCTCTTTTTTTCCCCTCTTGGAACTTCAAAAGCAGTTCACCTATCTCCTCCTCCTGCTGCTACTCCCAGCTCCATGGACACCTAATTCCACCTAACCTGATCCACTGGGGACTGGCACCCTCCACCCCGACAACCTGTGCATGCTGCGTCTCCTCTGTTTCTCCTTCCTATTTTCCCTTTCAGCATGTACCTGCCCAGTCTGTGTTGGCCAACTGGGTTTCCCGGTGTAAATTTCCCGCAGTTCTATCTCCTGCATGTAACCTCTCTCCCTTTTAACTACCTATTTTGCCCCCATGTGACTTGGATATTCCTGTTTATTTTTTTTTTCTTTTTTTTGACAGGCAGAGTGGACAATGAGAGAGAGAGACAGAGAGAAAGGTCATCCTTTTGCCATTGGTTCACCCTCCAATGGCCGCCGCGGCCAGCGCACCATGCTGATCCAAAGGCAGGAGCCAGGTGCTTTTCCTGGTCTCCCATGGGGTGCAGGACACAAGCACTTGGGCCATCCTCCACTGCACTCCCAGTCCACAGCAGAGAGCTGGCCTGGAGGAGGGGCAACCGGAACAGAATCCGGCGCCCCGACTGGGACTAGAACCCAGTGTGCCGGCGCTGCTAGGTGGAGGATTAGCCTGTTGAGCCACGGTGCCGGCCCAGATTTTCCTGTTTCTAAGCTGCCATCTTTTCCCTGACCCTTTGGTTCTTCTTACAACTTGATTCTTACATTCAATTTTAGAATAATTTTGTCCGTTTTCACAATATGTTTAGGATTTTCATTGGAAAGGAACTGAATTTATTAATTTGGGAGAACTGACAACTAGGTTATCTATTTATTTGAATCATTTGGCCCTTCAATAATATTTTATACTTTATATTCACAGTGGTTTTTGTAGTCCATTTTCTGTTGTGGTAGCAAAAATACCGAAGGCTGGGTACTTTATAATAAAAGTGGTTTATTTAGACCACAAATTTGAAGGCTGAAAGTCCAGGATCAGGCAACCCCATGTGTTTGGGCCCTGGTAAAGCTGCTTGGTTGCATCACAGCATGTTAGATGGCATCATGGTGGGAGTGATGCATTCGGTTAGCACGTGGTACTTATATTACCTTCTTAATAGAAAGCTGCTAGATTCTGTTGATAGTTTGGTTTACAGTTCTTGTATCCGGGCCATGGGTATGATTGGATATTCTTTTTTTAGTTTCCCTCATAATGTTAATTTCAACTGTTGGCTTCACAAAATGAGCTAGGCTGCATTTCCTTTCTTTTTTATTCTCCAAGTCTGTTTAACTTGGTTATTATTTTTTTTTCTTTACCTTAAATGTAAGCTAGGACTCCCTAGTGAACCCACATCAACCTACAGTTTTCTCTGTGGATGTTTTCAAGTTGTAAATCAGATTTTGTTAGATATAGGATTGTTTAAAACTATTTCTTGTATCTATTTTAGTTAGTTGTATATTCCCAAGCATTTGTCCATTTTATATACAATTTCAAATGTCTTGGCATCAAATTGTTCAACATATAATCTTACTATTCTAATATCTAGAGTGTGCTCCCCTTTTTATTCCCTATGTAGCTTTCTTGATGCCTTGTCTCTATTTTCTTTGATTAGTTTCACCAGGGATTTTTCAATTTTATCAATCTTTTCAAAGTACCAAATTATTAGATTATTGTTGGTAGCTCTTTTTTTAGTATTATTATTAGAGGGGAGAGACAAAGAGAGCACTGGCACTCCCATCTGCTGGTTCATTCCCCAAATACTCAGAACATCAGCCCCAGTAGTAGCCAGGAGCCAGGAGCCAGGAGCCAGGAATACAGTGCTGGTCTCTCAATGTGGATGGCAGGAAATCAAATTACTTGAGCCATCACCACTGCCTCCAAAAGTCTGTATTAGGAGGAAGCTGGAGTCAGGAGCCAACCAAGCTGTTGATCAGTAGCCTCCTTTTCAGGAAACTTCATGCAAAAGGTGGAAAAACTCCTCTTTGGAAGTACCTGGCTTAGAATAGTGTTTGCAATGACAGACTGAGAAAGCAATTTAGCGGTTCATTAAACATTTTTAAAATGATAGAAAATTCTGTGCATCTCAGGTAAAAATAAGTTTGGAATTACATTAAGTAATTAGGTTCAGTGTGTACTAAGTAAAAAGCTACAGTAATTAAGCAAACATTTTTATTTTTTTTTTGAGACACAGGATGGTACTCACGTTTTATTGTAAAATAAGAAACCGATATAAAAAGGGGATATAAAAAGGGAAGAGGACTGGCGGTGACAAATGCAGATGTGCCTTGCAAGGTGCAAAAGAAATTGACCCTGAGCATTGTGGGGAAAGTGAAAAAGGTCTTAGTAGATGCAGATGGTACATGAGATGGAATCCTCCAGGCGTAGGTTAGGGCAGGACTTCTTTCAGGTGCCATCGTCACTAAGAGGCTGGGCAGGATTTGGCTGCACCAGCGTAGACCAGGTGCCCAACCAGTGAAGCTGTCAACCCAGCCAGCAGGAGGGCAGGGAACCAGCTCCCATGAGGGTGCCACATCCCAGCCACCCTATAATAAAGGGTGCTTTCCAGGACAGCCACACAGCATTTCATTAATCCTCACAGTAGACCCTGTGAGGTAGGCATGATCAGCATTTCATGAAGTTGTGGCCACATCCCTGCTCAGCACAGCAGGAGGGCTGGGCTTCCCACCCAGCCTAGGGCTGCTTCTCAGAGCATTTTTCCCCCCAAACATTCCTCACAGTCAAAATTCTAAAAGCTAAGGCTGGCCCATCCTAGCTCCCACTGCCCCTCCCTCCCTCCCCCCAATACCACCAGTGCAGGCCAAGGCAAGTGGAAGAATTCCTGGGAGTTCTGAGGCATACCTCTACCAAGTAGGGTTCAAGCACCTGAGTCCCAAAATGTCAAGGTAGGAGGGCATGGGGGTCGTCAACGTGGTCAGAAGGTGAGACCTCAGTCTGAGTTGGGCCCCTCTCTCTTGAACATTAGTTTTTTACTGCAGGAGGTAGACTGCCCCTTCTTGGCCTTTGGGCAGCTGGAGTGAGCCCTGCTCCCCCAGGGCTCCTTCTTGGCCTTGGCATCCTTGAGCTCCAGGACCTCATTCAGCTCTTGGAACACCTTGAAGCATTCACGCCCACGGATCTTAATGATGCAATATTCTCTATCAAGTGGCTTCTTTTTCTTGGGAGAGGAGTCGGTGGTGGTGGTTGGCAGTGCTTGCTTAGAGCTCCCGGGGGGCAGCTCAGGGCAGGACTCCCCTTTCTTGAGGAAATTTTCTTCCTCTGTGCCGTGGTCCCTCCCAGGACAGGCACACACTCGCACCTCAAGCTGTTCCATCCTAGCAGGTTCCCCCTGGAATCTTCCAGTGTGATGAGGGTGAGGATGGGCCACCGGTTCATGCCCCCCATGCAGGAGCTGTTACACATGTAATTATAGTGGATGGTGGTACAGTCAGGGCCAACGTCGGGTGGCTCATAGGGCACCACCACACTGTGTCGGAAGGTGTTTCTGTCATCCAAATACTCAGCACACAGATTTCCCTCCACCCGGATGAGATGCTGAGAGAGGGGCCAGATCATCACTATCGGAACAGCACTCGTGGTGGGGGCAGTGTCTGACAACTTCCTTCATGTGTTGAGACTTCTTGAAGATGGCCATGGCCCGCACACGGGTGCCAGGCAGGGGTGTTGAGTCGACCCACAGCTGCACAGGGCAGGTGTTTGCTAGCTGCTAGAAGAGCTTGTTGAGGCAGGGGGAGTACGTGCAGGTGACAGACTTGGCCGTCCCAGAGTGCAGGAAGCCCAGCCGGAAACTGGAGTTGCCGTGGTAGGTCTTTTGGGAAGGGACAGAGGATGACAGGGGCCAGCAGGTGGCTGGTGCAGGGGTCGCCAGCCCAGGGGCAGCTGGGGTGGGGGCCTCTGGTGCAGGAGCTGCTGGTACTCAGAGCCCTTCATCTGGGTCTTCGTTGAGCCAGTTGGCAACATCTTTAGTGGACAGCAGATCATCCAAGGGAGGGTTCAGCAAGGTGGTCAGCAGGTTGTACTCAGAAAGCAGTTTCCATAGGTCTGAAAGTGTCTCCTGACTCAGGGGAGGCTCCAGGCTGAGAACTGACTACAACTCCTCCATGGCAGCACCCAGGAAGCTGGCCCGGTCGCCAGTCCTCAGGAGAGCGCATCACAGCCCCAGACGCCAGGTGCCCCCGCAGCGCAGTGGCTACCTGCGCCCTGGACGGTGGCCCCCAGGAAACAACATCTTTTTAAAGTTAAATTTTGTATGGCAGATGAAAAATAGAAATTCAAATAAAACTCGAGAAATTTTGAGGATAAATGACATGAAGCATAAGGTCAAGGATTTGCTTTAAAATGTAACAGTGGAAAAGAAAGGAGATGGCACAGAAGAAGAAAGGATAGAGGATAGAGGAGAGGGGAGGGGTAGGAGAGAAGCGAGGAAAGAGGAGAGGGAAAGTAACCAAGTTCAGCAAATATCAGTAACTACAAAATCAGGAAAAGTACACGAGGGTTCACTATCCTGTTCTGTATGCTTTCATATGTTTAAAAACTTTTGTACTACAATTAAATACTCTATGGAAGAAACAATGAGTATTGCAAATGCTAAAAGCCATTTTGAGTTGTGATCCTGGTTTTATTCTTTTTCTAAAAGAATGTTTAATTTATTTGAAAGGCAGTGGCACAGAAATAGAGAGGGAGAGGCAGAGAGATCTTCTATCAAGTGGTTCACTCTCCAAATGGCCACAATGACCAGGACTGGGGATGGCTGAAACTGGGAGCCTGGAACCCTTTCTGGGTCTCCCCCATGGGTGGCAGGGGCCCAAGTACTTTGGTCATCTGCTAAATCCCCAGACTCATTAGCAAGGAGCTGGATCTGAAATGGACTAGCTTAACCTGCTGTGCCACAACTCTGACCGCTATTTTTAACTTTTATAGATACTTTTATTTATGTTATATGGATCATAGAGTGTAGAATTAGTTCCTAATTAGCAAGTGAGGCTTTAGGCTTGGAGTCCTAGGCAGAACTGACTGCCTCCAGTGTGTTTCCCAGCATCTGTGATTCAAGACAAGTACACATGTGCACAAGTGTATCATGTCCATTTACAGAACCAAATTCCAGATACAACCATAAAACAGCGAAATATCTTGGCTATTACTAAACTATTTGTGACAAGCACATTCAGGGTGTAAAAAAGTCAATCAAAAACACACTCTGGATACTTCTGAGTGTATTTTCATACTAAGTTCTACCATGAACTAGCTTCTTAAACTAACTTTTCTTTTCTAGGAAGAACTGGGACAATGGTCTGTGCTTGCCTCATTGGTAATCAGATCTTTGGTACTGCAAAGGTATGAAACATGTTACTACAATCTGTCTTGTGCTTACTGAAATCGCCAGTTCTGAACTATCACTGCTAGGATGTTATGGTGACTCTCTGAGTCCCAATGGTTAAGTGAAACTGTAACTGGAGAGTGGGTCATTAAAAAGTATTGGTTGGCTCCTCCTTTGTTTCATATCCACTATGAAATTAGTAAATGACTACTTCTTACCCTGGACAAGGACTAGGGTAAAATGTGTGAGGCATAAAATTTAAGGGAATATAAAAAATCTCAGTAGTTAGCATAAATAATGTTAAATCAATATTTTAAAAATAAAAACGAATGCAAAAAAATCATGATGTATACACTATTAATCTTTTAAATACAAGTGGGACCCAATAGGAGCAGGATTAAGTGAGGTCAGTAAAGCCAAGTTATACAAATGCAAAGCGTTGCAGGACTTCCTCATGAGAATAATATTCAGATTAATTAGATGCATTTTGCAGAGGACCTTGGCTATCCTTAAAATTGCTGTATATACATAAAAGGCCTTGCTTTCCCACTCAGAGTCTCTCATGGTTAATTACTATTTTTGCAAAGTCAATATACATAATAACTGTAATCTGGAAATTGCTGAGAAGAGAAGGTGAGTTGTTCCCATGTCTTAAAGCAGGGTTCATTTTGCTGCCATATTTTTGGGAAGCTGCCACTTAAGTCCCTACTTCCAGCAGCTCTGGTCTGCTGGCCTGCAGTAGAGAGAAGAGGAGCTGAGGGTTATGCACAACAGTCAGCTCTCCAGGAGATGGGAGGAGTGCGAGTGGGAGGGAAATTATGGGGGAGAAAGCCAATGTAATCCATAAACCGTACTTTGGAAATTTATATTTACTAAATTTAAAAAAAAGGAAAAAAAAAACAACTCTCTAGCCACTTCTGTCTTATAATCTAAGATACACAAGTTTGGAAAATAGGTGTTTCTTTAAGTCATACATCATTATGTTTCAGTGAGTTGTAAAAGCAACTTACTGAGTAGTGTTTCACTTCTAAAATGGAGATTAGAAAATATCAATGTTTGATGGGTGTGTGTGTATGCCCAAGTCTGTGTGTATATCATGGGTTTATTAATGTGGGTTACAATTTCATTTTCTTTTCATCTCAGTCTTCTCATTTGTATATTGGAAGGTAGAAAGAAGAGTTGGACCAAATAGTTTCTAAGGGCATTCTAGTTCTGAAAGTCCATGTATGCAGGAATCTTTGAATGAGACATATCTTTGATGTAGCCTTTTTAATACTGTTATTTTGAGTAGCCTCTCTTCACAGAATGCTCCCCCTTAAGGAAATAATGTGTCCTTAGAAACTTAAAACACATCTACTATGGGAAAGGGAAGATTGCAGATGAACCATTGTTATGTTGCTCCTTTTCTATAGGAAAGTCTTGCTTATTTTGCAAGTCGACGTACTGATCACACCATCAGTAGTAAATTCCAAGGAATTGAAACTCCCTCCCAAGTAAGTTTTCTTTTTAAAGGGGCACTTCTTTGGGGGGAGTGGGTTAAGATTAGCCCGACACATGGTTTCACTTTAGACTCTTCTCTGTTGGATATCAGGCAGTGGCCCTTGGGTGCCCTGCAGCAGGCTTTAACTCCTCCTCAGGACCAAAACCTATACCTCAGTCGCTGCCCATGCTTGAGGAGCAGTGGGTCCTCCCTAGAGCATTTGATATTTGTTGTTGTGTACAGAGTTCAGCAGTTGATTACTTTCCTGTAATAGGCAAGTCTAATACCTAAGATTCCAGGCCCCTAATGCTTATCAGTTGCCTTTGATTTCCCCATAGAAGAGGAACTGAGTCTTTCACAAACCCCTCCTGCGGCAATGTTGCCCTCTCAGAGAATCATGAGAACTATTTCTAGATGATTTCCTTGTGAGAGTGGTTGGGGAGGGAGAAGGAATGTCTATATTTTGATGGTTAAAGAAAAAAGAAAATAGAGGCCGGCACCATGGCTCGCTTGGTTAATCCTCCGCCTATAGTGCCGGCATCCCATATGGGCACTGGGTTCTAGTCCCAGTTGCTCCTCTTCCAATCCAGCTCTCTGCTATGGCCAAGGAGGGCAGTGGAGGATGGGCCAAGTGTTTGGGCTCCTGCACACCCATGGGAAACCAGGAAGAAGCACCTGGCTCCTGGCTTCAGATCAGCGCAGCGTCGGCCATAGCAGCCATTTGGGGAGTGAACCAATGGAAGGAAGACCTTTTTCTCTCACACTGTCTGTAACTCTGTCAATTTAAAAAAAAAAGAAAAAGGAAATAAACACTTTTCAAAACCTCTAATATACCCCAAATGCTTCTAAACTTAAAACTATTTCATTTAGGATTTATAATATTTATGTGGAGATTGCTGAATTTTTTCCTTTTAAAAGATTATGGAAATTTTCAAACATATGCAAAAAAGACAATTATACAACAAATCCATTTTTACTCAACATGCCACTTTATCTCATAACTAACCAATCATGGTTTATTCATTCTCTCCCCTCTCTATCCAAATTCCTCAACCCTATTCCACTCTGTTTTCACCAAACCTGGGTTATTCTGAAGGAAATTACACCCATGAGATCATTTTATCCCACAAGTATTTTGGTATGACATCTAACATAAGGTCTCAAGAGAACCCAAAAATCTTAATACCATTTATCACATCAAATGCTGTATGCCTTATAAAATCTTAATAATTTCAAATTTTGAGTTTATTTTTAAATTTTCATAATTGTCTAAGATACTTAGAAAACTTTGTTTCAGTTACAATACAAACAAGGCCCATACATATCATTTGGATGCTACCTCTCTTAGGTCTCTTTCTGTTTCTGTTTCCCATCTCATTTTTATTCCTTGTGATTTGTTTATTGCAGAAATCAAAACATTTATCTGATAGAGTTTACAACAGTCTAGACTTTATTGATACATGCTAAGGGTTTTATATTCATTACCTAATTCAATAGGCACTGTTATGAATCCCATTTTACAGATTATGAAATTGAAGTTCAGAGAAATTAACCACTAGAACCAAGAACTCAAATCTAGATCTGTCAAATCTGAAGCCCAGTATAGTCCATGCTGTGAACAGCTTCTATTTATTGTCCCCCTAAAACCAAAGTGAGAGCTGATTGAGACTCTTAGGGAGATGTGAATGTAGCTATAAATGAGAGACTTTCTTTGAGTGAAGTGATGGCAACTGAATAACTACACTGGGCTTTGAAAGCAGCACACAGTAACTTCTCACCCTAGATCTTTGGTTAGGACAAAAGAATTCAGCCTTTACTCACCAATACTTTTCTCCCATACCTAAGCCAAAGAAAACAAAAAACAAGATATACATACACCCTTGGATAAAAGTAATACATCAACCTACTGAAGTCCATCTTTTATCACGCCATTTCCATGCTCAAAATCCATGATGGCTCCCTGCTGCCAATGGCAACTATATGTTCTAACCTAGCTCTCAAGATCTTCTGCGGCCGGTGCTGCGGCTCACTAGGCTAATCCTCTGCCTTGCGGCGCCGGCACATCGGGTTCTAGTCCCAGTCAGGGTGCCGGATTCTGTCCCGGTTGCCCCTCTTCCAAGCCAGCCCTCTGCTATGGCCTGGGAGTGCAGTGGAGGATGGCCCAAGTCCTTGGGCCCTGCACCCCATGGGAGACCAGGAGAAGCACCTGGCTCCTGCCATTGGATCAGCGTGGTGTGCCGGCCGCAGCGCACCAGCCGCGGCGGCCATTGGAGGGTGAACCAACGGCAAAAGGAAGACCTTTCTCTCTGTCTCTCTCTCTCACTGTCCACTCTGCCTGTTAAAAAAAATCCTCTTCAATTTGATTTTTCAAATTTTTTCTTCATTAAGTGCTGTCACATATCCTGTGCTCTAAGACAATAAGACCCTTTGCTATTTCCCAGCTTGTCAGCACTGTGTATCTTCATGCTATGAATCTGGTGGCAGGAGCCAAGGGTATGTGAAATGCAGCTCCTTCACTGACTCTCCCCATACATCTCCCTTTCTCCATTTCTCCTTTAGTCCTGCACAGTTATCCTGACTTTAGTCCAGAACTAGCACACCATATGCTACACCTGAATGTCTTCTGATTCACTGGGATAGCAATAGAAGAACTCAGCTGCAGACTTCAGATTTGGCAAGGCCCTGGGGCAGAGGTTCCTTTATGTCAAGTGATGATTCTCCAGACACCATCACATTCTGACCCTCCCAGTGAGCCAGTCTCCTGGTCACATTACATCTATCCCTGAGTTAAGAACTTGCATGAGACTATCTCATGGCTGCCCTTTCTCATAGAAAGTACAACACTTAATTTTATTAAACTTCCCAATGGGGAAAGAAGAATCTGTGAACTTCTGAGTCCTGTTGGTTCAGTGCCAGAACTGTTCAACTTCCTTAAGAAAGACTCAAGGACAGACCTTGTGAATAAGTTTATCACAGAAAGAATGAAACCAAGAAAATTCCAGAACTTCTTTGCAACAACAGAACTGAGAAAATGATAATTAAAGAAACTCTAGCTGGCAGAGGCAAGGTAAAAATGACCAAGAATCTACCTGAGAGATGTTGGTCTCCTCCTGAGTTTGCAAATACCATTCTTCCATTATCATAGGCTATTCTTCACCCAATCACAAAGCTTCCCGTAACTCAGTCACATCCTTGCTTCTATCCACACATGGATAATGGTGTAGTCTAAAACACAATCATAATTATAAGCACCCTATAAGCCAGACCTGATTCCTTTCTGGTTTCCTCCCAAAGCACTTAGTTCAGTATTGTTTCCTAAGGTAGTTTTGAGGCCACATACATAAAAACACTCTGTCTTATAACAAAATCCAGCAAGTGATTTCTTAATTTCTTACTGCCCTTACCAAGCTCTATGCCCTGCCCTCACAATAGGAATTTCTGATTTTCAGCTTTTCTTCCTCATGTAACCTGAAGCTTTTGTTTCTTTGCAGAGTAGATATGTTGGATATTTTGAGAATGTGAAAAATCTCTGCAACTGGACTCTCCCGCCAAAAAAAATCCTCACGCCATACAAAATTATCATTTATTCAATTCATAGTAAGTGTTTTTGTATAACTGAAAAACTGGGCAGAAGCAACAATGTTCCCATTCTTTGGGAAGATTTGCTTGTGGATATATACAGATGAGCTTTACTAGTACTAGGGCATCTAAAGAAATCTTTGTGAGTTTTAAACCATTTCAGGGAAGTCACGGGCATTTCAGCCTAATGAAGTTTTAACACCTTTCTCTCATAGGAACAATGAGAATAAAATAGTTTCTCAAAATTCAAAGCCTAAAAATCATTTAAAAATTTGGGAATTTTTGTGTCAGTCGGATATTATATCCTAAGATTATGTCTTCTTTCTTAATATCACTTTGGGTTTTATTTAAACCTTGTAGAAGGGGCCAGTGCTACGACACAGTGGGTTAAAAGCCCTGGCCTGAAGTGCCAGCATCCCATATGGACACTGTTTCTAGTCCTAGATGCTCCTCCTGATCCAGCTTTCTGCTATGGCCTAGGAAAGCAGTAGAAGATGGCCCAAGTTCTTGGACCCTTGCACCCACGTGAGAGACCTGCAAGAAGCTCCTGGCTTCCTATTGGCACAGCTCTGGCCGTTGCGGCCATCCTGGGAGTGAACCAGCGGGTGTCTCTCTGTCTCTACCTCTCTAACTGTCTTTCAAATAAATAAAATAAATCTTTAAAAAAAAAAAAAAAAACACCCTGTAGAGACAATGCTTACAACTGTAAGGTGCAGATCTGGAAAAAATAGGGAGTTGCTCAAATTCACAACTTCAAGTTATTGTAGGTGAAGTTGTGTGGAATTTTATGGCATGATTTGCTTATCTCAGACTAACATGAAATAGAGGATTGGAAAACCTCAATCTCAGGGGCCAGCATTGCGGCATAGAAGGCTAAACCACTGCCTACAGTTTTATCATTCCACTTAAGTGCTGTTCCAAATCCAGATCCCTGTGGGTGCACCTGAGAGCAGCAGAGGATGGCCTGACTGCTTGGGCCCCTGGTACCTACAAGGGAGACTCAGATGGAGTTCCAGGCTCCTGGCTTCAGTGTGGCCCACCCATGGATGTTGTGACCATTTGTGGGAGTGAAGCAGTAGATGGAAGATCTTTGTCTCTCTCTAACTCTGCCTTTCAAACAAACAAATAAAAGACAATCTGAGATCCAAGATCCTGGGTGTTCAGCTTTCCACATGTCTTAGCTTGTAAACCAACTCAGGAAGGACTGTTGGACAAGTTAAAATTCGTCCTGCACCCGTGTAAATAAGCGGGCCAAACTTACTGGGATCAGTATGATTTTTGAATAAAAATAATCTTTCAAATGGTTGTGACAACAAGAGAAAGGAGCTAGGGAGACTGAGAAGAAAAAGTGTGAGAGGCTCTTAGATGGGTAATGTCTGTGACTGCACACTTTCCAGCTTTCATTGTCTTTGAGCTCTTTACTCTGCAAGTTGTAGAAAAGTGATAATGCAAACAACTTTTCTACATAGAAATGCAAACTGGATATGTTCAGTGGAATGCAATTGGCTACTAGCCCATTTGCATCTAGTCGTAGGTTCATTGCATCATTTACTATATGCTTGTGTGTGGTACTTTGAACCAGCTAGAATATTTTATTGTTTCCTCATTAGTGTGCCTATCTTTTTAATTTTATACAGATGTTGGAAAAGGCGATGGAAGTGACCTAAAAATTCAAATAACTACAAAACAACAGACAGTCTTTTCATGTTCATCTTCTAAAAACTGCAAGGTAAGAGAAAGCATATGAATTGAAAATTCTGAAGTTTTTTTAAAGCTCAAAGTTATATCAGCATGTTGGCCTCCTGAACCATCACTCACCACAAAGAAGATGTTATGTTGCTTTGTAGTTACCATCCAACATGGAAACCGTAAGTATGGATGCAAACCAGAGCTAACTTAACCAAATTGTTTGAAAAAAAAAAGGGGGGAGGGTTTCCCAGGGTATTTTCTAAAATATATATCATTGTAAATTGTGGCTTTGCCTTTTAGGTTCCCACAAATGCTGAGCATGTTACCAGGAATCTATCAAGATTTTAATTTCAGATTGTAGTTATTTTTAGCCATATTTTTTTCCTCTTGGTCATTTTACCTTTTACTGTCCAACACTAAAATTTCAAATTGTAGCATACAAGAAAATCTCCTAGGGGCATGTAAAGATGCAAATTCATTATCTGTGCCTCCAAGGTATGATTCAGGAAATCTGGAATGGGTCTCAGCTATCTGTAGATATAGCAATGCTCCAGATGACTGTAACCAACAGTCCTGTGAGTTAGCGTTATGAGAAACTATGTAAGCATATGGATGAAAGAGGAGTCTCTTTACCCAAAGCAATGGGACCCTAGTAGACAATGATCTGCTAAAATGTTGAAGTGATGCCTAACTATATAAAGACTTTTGTGGAACAATAATAAAGCTTCTTTCATGAGTCTAGGAACTGTAAACATTCAGAAGACCCTCCCATGCTTCTATTCCTGACACTAATCCTCCTTGTCCTGTCCCCCTGTGTTGGTTTTGTTTTGTTTTGTTTTGTTTTGTTTTGTTTTGCCTCTCCTAGCTGAGGGCATTCACCTGGGCCTGATCCTTGACATTTGTGTTTTCATTTCTGTAACTACCCCATTCTTGGTTACTCTCAGCCATTCCCCTTCTTTACATTATTATTTGTTCTTTAAGCCGTGGAACATATATTAATGAGCACTCACTGTTGCTACATGTAGAAATTACAATATGGACAGTCTTTACCCCAACAATCCAAAGTTAGTCAAATCCAAACTTGCCAAATGGAGCTTTTCCTCTGCTACTGCAGATGGCACCATCATTCTTTCACTCAGGTCTTCACACGTGGTATTATCTTTGATTCTCACTTTGCCTTCTCCACATAAATCCAATGAGTCACCAATTCCTCTGATTATTCCTTTGAAATTTTTCTTCATTCTCCTTTCCTTTATGTTTCCACTGCCACTGTTTAGTCCATTTGCTCGTTGCTCTGACAAAGTTTCTAAACAATGGTCTCCTTACCTTGTCTTTCTTCTTACACATTGTAGTGGGTAGAATCCTACAACATGCATCTTGAAGTATTGCTCTCATTGTGAAGAGCTGTATGTACGTCAGAAGACACACAGTTTATGCACAGTTAAAGCCAGTTAGCATCTTTGGGTCAGCATTCTTATCTGAAAAATAAAGATGACATCTCAAGTGTTGTGAGAATTAAGTTAGGTAATAAAATAAAAATTTGTCAACTATAAATTACCAAGTAGATGTTAATTCATGACAGTAGTCAGGATACTTTGACACATAAAATACCCCTCTCCCCAATACTCTCTAGCAACTTCACTCTTATTTCCATGGATCTTGAACTCTCAAGATACAATAACCATATCCAACCTGAGCTTATTTCCATCAGCAACTTAAGCTGCAGAGATTTTTCCTTGTAAACCGGGTCATCCTCGCAGGTTCTTGGAATATAATTCTAATTTCTACTTCATGTTTCTGCTTGTCTTTTCCCTCTCCTCTGTCCCAATGTATGCACTAGATTCTATTTTCAGTGCTCTCTTTTATTTATTCAAACCCTTCCATACTCAACTCAGTAGCTATCTCCTTGAAGAGTCTCTACTCTATGTTGCCTAATAATACCACCCCCTGCAGTTCATAACAGCACACTCAGTCTTCACCATGTAGCCTGACATTAGTTATACTATTATTCTTTACATGCCCAGCTCCCTGAAGGGACCGACTGAGTCTATATCTTATTATGCTTTTCACAGGGCCCAGCGTAAGTCTTTCTCATTTTCTATACCATTATTGTATAAAAATAAATCTGTAACAAAGAAATATTTAGTATAATTCCAAATCTGTTCCTCCTGGAAAGTTTATCGTTAATCACTTCATTTAAAGGCCTGCAATGGAGCTTACCAATGATCCCATCAAAAACACATGATTTTGGATTAAGCATTCTGTATTGCTTCTTGAATGGCAGTGTCAACTTTAAAACTAAAGATTTGAGTGTATTATCAAAAGTGGTCCAACTTATGAAAACCATAACACATTAAACAGTAATGTTTACGTGACTAAACTTAATTGAAAATAAATCAAACACTTTGCTTTTCAAATGTGTCCCAATATCATGCTCAATCGGACTTGCCCCAAATGGTGGAGTTAGAACTGTGCCAGGGGATCCCAATACAATCCCATCAAGGTGGCATGTACCAATGCCATCTCACTAGTCCAGGTGATCAATTTCAGTTCACAATTGATCACACTGATAGGTCTAAGAGTCAAAGGGATCACATAAACAAGACTAGCGTCTGCTAATACTAACTGATAGAATCAAAAAGGGAGAGAACAATCCATCATGGGAAGCGGGATACACAGCAGACTCATAGAATGGCAGATGTCCTAAATAGCACTCTGGCCTCAGAATCAGCCCTTAAGGCGTTCGGATATGGCTGAAGAGCCCATGAGAGTATTTTAGGCATGGAAAGCCAAGACACCCTGGGGAAAAAAAAAAAAAAGAAGAAGACTTAAATGACAGATCTCTGCAAGTGAGATCCCAGTAGAAAGAACTGGGCTCCATCAAAGAAGGAGGTACCTTTCTCTGAAGGGAGGAGAGAACTTCCACTTTGACTATGACCCTGTGGGAATAAGATCGAAGTCAGCGAACTCAAAAGGCTTCCATAGCCTAGGCAACTCATGACAAGAGCCTAGGGAGATTACTGACACCATAAACAAGAGTGTCAAATTGTTAAGTCAACAACAGGAGTCACTGTGTACTTACTTCTCATGTGGGATCTGTCCTTAGTGTGTTGTCCAATGTGAAGTAATGCTATAACTAGTACTCAAACAGTATTTTGCACTTTGTGTTTCTGTGTGGGTGCAAACTGATGAAATCTTTTTAATATATACTAAATTGATCTTCTGTATATAAAGATAATTGAAAATGAATCTTGATGTGAATGGAATGGGAGAGGGAGTGGGAGATGGGAGGGGTGTGAGTGGGAGGGAAATTATGGGGAGGGGAAGCCATTGTAATCCATTAACTGTACTTTGGAAATTTTATATTTACTAAATAAAAAATAAATAAATAAATAAATAAGTGTCCCAATATAATTTTGAAACAATGTTACAGAAATTTATAGACTCGCAACTTTACAGAAAAGAGAGTTTATATTTACTTTTTTAAAGATTTATTTATTTATTTGAAAGTCAGAGTTACACACAGAGAGGAGAGGCAGGGAGAGAAAGAGTCTTCCATCCGCTGATTCACTCTCCAGATGGCTGCAACAGCCAGAGCTGCGCCAATCTGAAGCCAGGAGCCAAGAGCTTCCTCTGGGTCTCCTACGAAGGTGCAGGAGTCCAAGAACTGGGCCCATCCTCCACTGCTTTCCCAGGCCTTCACAGAGAATTGGGTCAGAAGTGGAAAACCGGGACTCAAACCAGCATCCATACGGGATGCCGGCACTGTGGCCTGCAGCTTTACCCACTACACCACAGCGCCAGCCCCGACAGGTTCTATTTATTAATATATATAGTGAGTTTGCTATGAGGCTAAGAGTACTTGATAAATACAGAAAGGCTGAATGAGTGAAAACCACTTCAGTTTTACAGATCCCATCAGCAGCTAGATTTTTAGCTCTGAATTTCATGTGTTCATTCACAGATATTTCACGATGTCGAAACTGACAAAGTCATTATTGAATTGTTGAACTGTCCAATCCTATATGACGACGTTAAAGTCAGATTTCTCTCTCGGGTAAGTAATCAAGAAATTACTTCTGCTGTTGTACTTGTTTGCTCTTTTGATTGATTTTGATTTAGGACTTCTATTGCTACAAATCCCAAGAGCAGAGATGAGAGACTTCAATCCGTAACCAGGAATAAGAAAGCATCATATCACTAACATATTTTCAAAAAAGAAAAACACATGTAATCTAAGATATTTTGCTCTTTTTTAAAAAAAGTTCTATATAATTCACATGTATGAAGCTCCTTTGTGTTTTTCTAAATTCTACTTGATATATATATATATAAAACTAATCAAAAAACTCACAAAAACCAAGGAGCTAAAAAAACGTGTTTTTACTACATAGCAGTGACAACTTCTTTGTTTTATACCTTTAAAATACATTGCTATAAACTGAATGGGACTTTGCTTTTCTCGAAGTTGATGCTTATTACAAATAGTATTCATTAACCCTATATTTAACTTAAAATTAACCTTATTTTAACACTATATTTAACCCTATATTTAACTTCAAATAAATAAGAATGCCTTTCATTTTCTTTACTTGAACATATCTGCATAACTTCTACTGACCAGCCATAAATTGTTGTGTTTGCATATTATTCTGCATATAACAAATTTATAATCCTCAATAGTTTCTTTTTTATGTTTTTAAAAAACTTCTATTTAATAAATATAAATTTCCAAAGTACAGCTTTTGGATTACAGTGGCTTTTCCCCCTATAACCTCCCTCCACCCACAACCATCCCATCTCCCACTCCCTCTCCCATCCCATTCACGCAAGATTCATTTTCAATTATCTTTATAGACAGAAGATCAATTTAGTATATATTAAGTAAAGATTTCAACAGTTTGCACCCACACAGAAACACAAAGTGTAAAATACTGTTTGAGTACTAGTTATAGCATTCACATTGAACAACACATTAAGAACAGAGATCCTACATGGGGAGGTAAGTGCACAGTGATTTCTGTTGTTGATTTAACAACTGACATTCTTGTTTATGGCGTCAGTAATCACCCGAGTCTCTTGTCATGAGCTGCCAAGGCTATGGAAGCCTCTTGAGTTCGTCGACTCCAATCTTATTTAGACAAGGTCATAGTCAAACTAGAAGTTTTCTCCTCCCTTCAGAGATATAGGTACCTCCTTCTCTGATGGCCTGTTCTTTCCGCTGGGATCTCACTCACAGAGATCTTTCATTTAGGTTGGTTTGTTTGTTTCTTTTTGCCACAGTGTCTTGGCTTTCCATGCCTGAAATACTCTCATGGGCTTTTTTAGCCAGATGCAAATGTCTTCAGGGCTGATTCTGAGGCCAAAGTGCTGTTTAGGACGTCTGCCATTCTGTGAATCTGCTGTGTATCCTGCTTCCCATGTTGGATCATTCTCTCCTTTTTAATTCTATCAGTTAGTATTTGCAGACACTAGTCTTGTTTATGTGATCCCTTTGACTCTTAATCCTATCATTATGATCAATTATGAACTGAAATTGATCATTTGACTAGTGAGATGACATTGGTACATGCCACCTTGATGGGACTGAATTGGAATCCCAACATGTTTCTAACTCTACCATTTGGAGCAAGTCCGATTGAGCATGTGCCAAACTGTACATCTCCTCCCTCTATTATTCCCACTCTTATATTTAACAGGGATCACTTTTCAGTTACATTTAAACACCTAAGAATAATTGAGTGTTAATTACAGAGTTCAACCAAAGGTATTAAGTAGAAGAAAAAAATAGTAAAAGGGATAAAGTATTAAGTTGTTCATAACAGTCAGGTCAAGGGCTGATCAAGTCATTGTTTCTCATAGTGTCCATTTCACTTCAACGGGTTTCCTTTTTGGTGCTCAGTTAGTTGTCACCGATCAGGGAGAACAGATGATATTTGTCCCTTTGGGACGGGCTGATTTCACTCAGCATGATGTTTTCAGGATTCCTCCATTTTGTTGCAAATGACCGGATTTCTTTCTTTTTTTTTTTTTACTGCTGTATAGGATTCCATAGAGTACATATCCCATAATTTCTTTATCCAGTCTACTGTTGATGGGCATTTAGGTTGATTCCAAGTCTTAGCTATTGTGAATTGAGCTGCAATAAACATTAAGGTGCAGACAGCTCTTTTAATTGCCAATTTAACTTCCTTGGGGTAAATTCCAAGGAGTAATCCTCAATAATTTCAATTCATATTCCTATGAAGTCATCAACCAGAACTGCCAACAAGTATGCTGGGCAACTTAAAAGTTATTTCTTGTACCTTCCTTCATCCCCTGCTTGCTGCCTGTTGGAAAAGAATCTTGTAAGTATTCAGATGGTCACTGAGTTGAAACAAGTCTGGGTAGTTACCACACTGGCTGGTGGCCTCCTACCTAATGGAGCTGCTCTAAATTCTCAAACAGTGGTTTCTAAGTAGAAGCAATGGTGTAAAGGTCATTGGCCTAGGGTACTTGGGTAACATCCAGCCTCTGATTATGAAAGCACTCAAAATGTCAGATATTTCTATCATCATCAACACTGTATCATCTTCAATAAGTAGGGCTAACTATTCAGTGCAGCTGTTCCTTATAGAAATGGTTGATATTTGTTGAATATGCCAGTAGTTTGGTCTTGAGGGCTCTCTGGAGGGTGGCTGTAAACTGTAGCCTGCCCTGACAGGACTGCAGGTGAGGTGGTCATGGAGGTTTACACTGTGCTTTTCACAGGATGCTTCATTATCCTGGCAGATGCCTGATGCCTAAGTGCCTGACTGTGAGCAGCAGCTGTGGCTCTCCCAGGAAACCTGTTTTCTTCCCAGAATCTTTTATTTAAAGGATACAAACTTCATGCATTTCATAAATCCAACTTCAGGAACACAGTGATTTATGCCACCATACCCGCTCTGCCACCCACACTCCTACCACTCTTCCTCCTCCCTCTCAGTCCCATTCCTAATTTTTTACTAAGATCTATTTTCAATTAACTTTATACCTATCTGATTAACTTTATACTAGGTAAAACATTCAACAAATAGTATGGAAAATAAAAGTGTTCCTCAACAGTCAAGACAAAGGCTGTTCAAAGTCACTGCATCTCAAAGTGTCAATTTCACTATAATAGATCACCTTTTAGGTGCTCTGTTAGTTATCACAGATGAGAGAGAACATAAGGCATTTGTATTTTGGGGACTGGCTTATTTCATTAAGTATAATGTTGTCCAGTTTCATCCATTTTTTTTTTTTGCAAATAACAGGAATTCATTTTTTATTCACTTTATTTTTTTGACAGGCAGAGTTAGAGAGAGAGAGAGACAGAGAGAAAGGTCTTCCTTTTCCCTTGGTTCACCCTCCAAGTGGCTGCTACGGCAGGTGCATTGCGACCAGAGCACTGCACCAATCCAAAGTCAGGAGCCAGGTGCCTCCTCCTGGTCTCCCATGCAGGTGCAGGCCCAAGGACCTGGGCCATCCCCCACTGCACTCCTGGGCCACAGCAGAGAGCTGAACTGGAAGAGGAGCAACCGGGACAGAATCCGGTGCCCCAACCAGGACTAGAGCCAGGATGCTGGGGATGAACCAACAGTAAACCAAACCCTAAACTAGTAGAAAAAAAGAAAAAACTAAAATTAGAGAAAAAAAAATTCAACAAAATTGAATTCAAAAAACAATACAAAATATCAGCAAACTGAAGAGCTATTTTTGAAAAAATAAACAAACTATTGGCCCAGCTAACCAAAAAAAAAGACAGAGTAGACCCAAATCAACAAAATTAGAGATGAAAAAGGAAATGTAACAAAAGAAACCAAGAAATAAAAAGAATCGTCATAAGATACCCTAATCCCATGTTGGTGGGAATGTAAACTGGTAAAGCTGCTCTGGAAGACAGTTTGGAGATACCTCAAAAATCTGAATATAGACCCACCATTTGACCCAGTCATCCCACTCCCAGGAATTTACCCAAGGGAAATGAAATCAGTAAACAAAAGAGTTATCTGTACCTCCATGTTTATTGCAGCTTGATTCACAATGCTAAGGCATGCAATCAAAATAAATACCCATCAACCAAAGACTGGATAAAGAAATCATAGGATACATACACTATGGAATACTACACAGCAGTAAAGAAAAAATGAAATTAGTTCATTTGCAACTAAATGGATGAATCTTGAAAACATCATACTTAGTGAAATAAGCCAGTCCCCAAAGGACAAATACCATATGTTCTCTCTCAACTGTGAGAATTAATAGAGCACCTAAAACAAAATCTGTAGAAGTTAAATCAACATTCACTTCAAGAAGGGATGACTTGAGCTCCCCTTATCTTGACTGTCGAAGAACAGTTTTTGTTATTTTTCCTTCATACTATTTTTTGAATTTTTTACTTAACAGTTAACCATATATATGTATATGTATATATATGTATATAAAGTCAATTGAAAATAGATCTCAGTAAAAAATAAGAGTGGGAATAAGAGAGGGAAGAGGAAGTTTGTAACTGTAAAGCTCTATAATTCTGCATATATTCCTGTGGACTTAATTCTAAGGGTACAGTTTAAAAACTTGTCATGGGACTCCAAATCCCATTAAGCCTGATGGTAAAAATCCCATCTTGGTTGTTAAAGTGGTCATATTAAGTGTTAAAGTGATCATATATATATATATATGATCAAGTGCCTGGTAATAATAATAGAATTAAAAAAGAGAATGTTCCAACATGGGAAGTAGTTCACACAGCAGACTAACAGAATGACCATCACTTCAATAATACTCTGACATCAGATTCAGCTCTTCAGTCTTCCTGGTCTGGCTGAAAAGCACATGAGAGCATTTCAGGCAATGAAAGTCAAGACACTGGCAAAAAATGTGCTACGTGAAGGAACTCTGTAGTGAGACCCCAGCAGAAAGAATTGGCCATCAAAGAAGGATGTACTTTTCTCTAAAGGAAGGAGAAAGCTTCCACTTTGCTTATGCCCTTGTCCAAATACTGACAGTTAGTGGACTTCCAAGGTTTCCATAGCCTAGGCAGATCATGTCAAGAGCTTCAGGTGGTCACTGATAATCATACATAAGATAAATTGTTAGTTAAATTAGTTGTTAAATTAACAAAAGGAGTCACTGTGCACTAACACCCCATGTAGGACCTCTGCCCTCAATGAGTTTCATTATGAGTTAACTATAATACTACTCCTCAGTTTGTGTATGTGTGCAAACTGTTGAAATATTTACTAAGTATAGGTCATATGGTAGGTCTGTGTACAAAGTTAAGTGAAAATGAATCTTAATGGAGAATGAGACTGGCAAAGGGAGAGGGAGGAGGTGGTGGGGTGGGAGTATGGGTGGAAGGGTGGGTATGGTGTGAAGAATAACTATATTTCTAACACTGTACTTAGGAAATTTGTATTCCTTAAAAAATAAATTAAAAACAAAAAAGGCAGAGAGAAGAGACTGCCCATCGGCTAGTTTATGCCTCAACTCCCCACAAGAGCCATGGCTGGGGAAAGCTGAGGCTGGGAGCCAGGAATTCAAATCTGGTCTCCCATGTGGGTTGCAGGGACCCATCACCTGTTGCCTCCAGGGTGTGCACTAACAGGAGGCTGGAATCAGGAGCTGAGCTGGGACTTGAATCCAGGAACTCTTATATAGGATGTGGGTGTCCCAAGTGGCATCTTAACTGCTATGCCCAAAGCCCAGGCTATCCTTGAAATTCCTGATAGAAACAAAAGGACAAAGCAACAGCATTCTATTAGTCTCCTCCTTGTCTCTAGGTGTATTATCAAGGAGTGCTGCCTATTTAATGGGTACAGTTGTTAGAGCAGTATATAGAGGCATAAATGAAGGGAAGACGCCAAAGAGATTATTCTGTGGAACTAGTTCTTGGTATCAATTTTACTATGAAAATAACCATTTTTTCTTTAACCATGTCTTTTTAGAATCTCCCCAAATACTACGACAACTGTGCATTCTTCTTTTGGTTCAATACAGCTTTCATACAAAATAACAGGTATGGATATAGTATAAATCCAATAGAAACAGCCTAATCTTCAATGCCTGTGTGTAAGATATAATGGCCATTCTTTTGCCAATTGTTATAATCTCTTCATTACACTTATTCAATGTGATTATTTAAAACCTAGATGAGACTCAACTGTTGCATGATCCTCATGGGCCATGCCAGAGAACTGTGTTCTAAGTTACAAAGGATTAAAATCAGATCCTGAGTATGGTGATAACGTACTCCCAGTAAATTCAATATGATTATGCACAGTACCTTGAATTCAAAATATAGCAGGTCCCCAGTAAGTGCTGATCCACTTAGAAGCAATCATCAACCTATGCTAATCTAAAGCACAATTTCTGGAGGCTCTCCCAAAGGGAGAGCAAGTTCAATGGGGGAGCCTGGATCCAAGTCATGGTACTGATGTAAGGCTGCCACAAAACACACCAGACACCAGAGTTAGAGGAAAGGTTTATCATTGGGTGGGGGGAGCCAGATGGGCTGGGGAAAGAGGGCAAGAGGGTAAGAGAGCAGGAGAGCATAACAGAAAGAGGGATCAAGAGAGAAAAGAAATAATTTATTAGTCTCCCAATTGCACATTTTTCTAACAACTCAATCAGGAAACTTTTTATTAAAAAGCATTTATTAAGTGGATTTCAAGGTTATCATTCCAAAGACCTTTTTACCCATACCTGGAACTCATTCCTGAATCTAGAAATGCTCTACTTTGGGGTTATGTTCTGTGGGGGTGAAAAGATGGTATCAACATACCCTACAACCCAAAGGAAAAGATACTTTGAAAATTATTCAAGTTAGAGTGAAGTTGGTTGCAATTGCATGTGGCTCTATTTGATATTCATCACATCCAACCCTACTCTGCTGCAAATCTGAACTGGCTCGAGTGCCATCCCAAGTCCTATAAGACAGCAGAGGGAACATCTCACACACACTCCTGTGATACACGCACATTTAATAGATTTTGAAGGCGAATGCTGCATTTCATGGAAAATTTTTATGCATTTATATCTGGAAGTAAACAAACAATAAACTTTGATTCATTACATGGGCAAAGTCCCTCAAATAGAGAAACCTGGTGCTACTCCTGAAAAATGGCTGTTACTACAGTGTACAGTTTTGTCCTTTGAAACAATGTGTTCATACTGGAGAAGCAATATTAGATCATTTTTATGTAAGTTTCTAAAGATTTCTGTAAGCTTTACATGTACACACTACTTGGCAAAGCAGATTTTATAGCTATCAGGATGTTGTTTGGCCAAAAACACCAATGTCATTCTTAAAAAAAAAAAAACAGTATTATTGGGTTTTATTATTCTTTAAAGATTCATTTATTTGAAAGTTGAGAGTGTTGTGGCACACTGGGTTAAAGCCTCTGCCAGGGAGAGGGAGAGGGAGGGGGAGAGGATGAAGAGGAGGAAAAGGGAGAGGGAGAGAAGGAGAGGAGGCAGAGGGAGAGAGGGGAGAGGGGCAGAGGGAGAGGGAAGAGGGAGAGGAGGGGAGATGGAGGCAGAGGAGGGAGAGAGGGGAGAGGGGAGTGGGAGAGGGGAGATGGAGAGGGAGATGGAGACATAGAGGGAGAGGGAGAGCATGAAGAAGGGAGAGAAGGGGGATAGAGGGAGAGGGAAGTGGGGGGAAGAGGGAGGAGAGGGAGAGAAGGAGAGAGAGAGGGAAAGGGAGAGGCATGATGTAGGCAACAAATGTCCAAGCCATTGGGCCATCTTCTGCTGCCTTCCCAGGCCATCAGCAGGGAGTTGGAGCAAAAGTGGAGCAACTGGAACTCAAACAAGCACTCCAATATGGGACGCCAGCATTGCAAGTGGCAACTTAACCCACTATACCACAATGGTGGCACTGTTATTGGGTCTTATTACACATCAAGCCTCTGGTGGCATTGTCATCTATGCAAACATGCTTTATCAATCTTGGATGTCATTAATTCTATAACAGGAGATGCTAAAAGATTTGGTAGTATGTTGTCACTGAGGTACTTGTTAGCGAAGATGAAGGTATTCTGTGAGGGATGTGGAGGAAGCCAAGTAAGACACAAAAAAAGGCTGAGGTTCTAAATGTGGTGAGCAAGGCTTTTCACGAAGGCCAAGGGGGCCTACTGCAGGGCTTGACTGTTAGTCCTAAAATAAAATGTAATGTGTGCTTGCTTTTCCTCCTTAGGCTGTATTTAAGACGAAATGAATTGGACAACCCACACAAACGAAAAGCCTGGAAAATTTACAGTTCATGTTTCTCAGTTGAGATGTACTTCAATCAGACCTAAGGTAATTATCCTGTACCTGGTACTCTTTTTAGTGTAGCTCCTCTTATAACACACATCATATGCTTCCCAATCGGTACCACACATGTTTTCCAAAGCTATCTATTTGTAGGCACATATACTGACTTTTGTGCATGTATATAATTGTATATAGTTGAGAAATTAAACATTAAAGTGTCAATGGTGATTTTTTAAAAAATGTATTTATTTGAAATGCAGAGCAACCGAGAAAGAGTGAGTATGTAAAAGAGAAAAAGAGAGAGAGCATATCTTCCATCCACTGGTTCACTGCTCAAATGGCCACAGGACCAAGGCCAGGAGCCCAGTACTCTTTCCAGATCTCCTACATGGATGGCAGGGGTCCAGGCACTTCAGCCATCTTCACTCCCTTCTCAGGCACATTAAGAGGAAGGTGGATCAGAAGCGGAGCAGCTGGGAGCTAATCTGCACTCCAACAGGGGACACCAGTTACAAGCAATGGCTTAACCGGCCACACCACAATGCTGACCTATATTTCTTTCCTTTTTAAGTAATATACTTCATGGGAAGTTTCCATCTTATGATGAGATAAATGAGAACAAAGGGCAAAGGAACATTAGGTTATAATTCTGGATAACTGTGATACCAAACTCTTATATCAAATGATTGATTTTATTGTCTCATCAATATGTATTTACTTACACATTTTTGGGAAAGTATTTAACACTGCTTTGTTTCACATTTGTAACTTCAGATTTTCAAAAAGCTAATTTCTATTTTCTTCCTCTACTTGATTTGCAAACTCTCTGTTACCAAACATCAACGCAGCAGCAAAGACTAAAATTTAAACCCAGGAAAGAAAAATGTTTCACACACCAGTCCCCAGCACTGACACACTGTTCTCTTGTTCCAAGTACTATACAGGTAGCTTATGTGACAAACTTCAGTTACACACACACATAGCAGGAGGGTAATGCAATCTTGGTAAACACAGAAAATAAAGAATTATCAGTAACTTCTTTTTGTGTGCAAAAGACAAAAGAAATAGTAAATAATTGGAATTATTTTAAAATCCATCAGTCCTGCTCAAACCAGCTTCATCCATGCCTGGGGAACTCTGAGGAAGACAGCCCTGTGGCCACAGGGAATCACTTTTTCTTGACTACTGTTGCTTTAAGTACTTTTATTAAAATTCATTTTTATTAAAAGTTTTTGTGAGGCCAGTGCTGTGGCTCACTAGGCTAATCCTCCGCCTACGGCGCCGGTACCCCGGGTTCTAGTCCTGGTCAGGGTGCCGGATTCTGTCCCGGTTGCTCCTCTTCCAGTCCAGCTCTCTGCTGTGGCCCGGGAGTGCAGCGGAGGATGGCGCAAGTGCTTGGGCCCTGCACCCCCATGGGAGACCAGGAGGAAGCACCTGGCTCCTGGCTTCAGATCGGCGCAACGCACCGGCCATAGGGCCACCTGGGGGGGTGAACCAACTGAAAAAGGAAGACCTTCCTCTCTGTCTCTCTCTCTTTCATTGTCTAACTCTGCCTGTCAAAAAAAGTTTGAGATGACATTTTAAATTTATATTACAGTCAAAGGTTTAATGTTCTACTGAATAAAAAGTTCAAAAAATAAAAAAAAAATAGAAAGACCATAGTCCAGCAGAAAAATAGGTGAGGACTATAATCAATAACCAAGTGAAAAGATGTCCAACTTCACTCATATAAAGCAAATTTTAAAAGTCACAGAAGCATTCTTACCATTGGAGCATATAATTCTTATCAATCTGTTGGTCAATCATTTAATACAAACTTTAACCCTTTCCATTTCCCTTTCCTTTCCTTCCTCCTCTATCATTTTCTTTTAACTTTAGCTCCCATGCATAAGGGCAAACATGTAGTATTTACCTTTCTTCTATGGCCAGCTGATTTTGATCAACATGATGTCTTTCAGTTCAAACCATTTTGCTGCAAATGATAGGATTTCATTCTTTTTTTATAGCTGAAGAGTATTCCATTGTGGTATATGCATGTATGTGTATGTATCACATTTCCTATATCCAGTCACCTAATAATGGACACCTTGGTTGACTGCATTTTGGCTACTGTGAACAGGGCTGCCATAAGTATGGTGGAACATGTATCTCTGATAAAATGATTTATCCAGGAATGGGACTGCTGGTTCCTAGGGCAAATCTATTTCTAGTTTCTAAGGAAATTTCCATACATTTTCCACAGTGGCTGCACTAATCACATTCTCACCAACAGCATAAAATAGTTCCCCTCTGTCAACATCACCAACATTGTTGTTTTCTTTCTTTTGGATAACAGCCATTATGAAAGAGGTGAGGTGATGTCTCATTGTGGTGCGGATTTGCATTTCTCTAATGGCTAGTAATGCTGAGCACTTTTTCATTTATTTTTTGGCCATTTGTACTTTTTTGAAAACTGTTTATTCAAATCCTCTGCCCATTTCTTCAATGAATTGGTTGTTTGCTTATTGTTCAGTTTTTAGAGTTGCTGATCTATTTTAGATACTAGCCCTTGCTGGATAAGCAGCTTGGAATATTCCCTCCCAGTCTGTTGGATGTCTCTTCACTCTGTTGTTTCCTTTGCTGGGCAAAAGCTTCTGAGATTCATATAAGGCCATTTTGTTTACTTTTACTTTTGTTGCCTGCATTTTAGGTCTTAAGAAGTCATCTACTCCATTGCCTTGAAGTGTTTTCCTTGTTTTCTTGTAACTATTTCATAGTCTCAGGTCTTAAATTTAGGTCTTCAATCCAAGTGAGTTTTGTATCTGGCAACAGACAGGAACCTAACTTCATTCTATATCCAATTTTGCCATTACCATTTATTGAAAAGACTATCCTTCCTTTAATGTTGTGTTCCGTCTGGGCACTTTTGTCAAAAATCAGCTGTCTGTATTCATGGGGATTAAATTCTGGTCTCTCTACTATGTTTCAGTGGTCTATGTGCCTGTTTTTATGCCAGTAGCATGCTGCTTTTATTACTATAGCTTTGTAGTATGCTTTGAAGTCAGACACTGTGATGCCTGCAACTTAAATTTTTTTCCCACGATTGCTTTGTCTATTCTGGGACTTTTGTAAAATTCCAAGTGAATTTTTAAGATTTTTTTCTTTAAAGAGTTTCATTGGTATTTTGATAGGAATTGCGTTGAATCTGTAGATTGCTTTGAGTAGTACAGATATCTTAATATTCTTTCTATCCACGAGCAAGGAACTTGTCTGTGTGTGTGCGTGTGTGTGTGTTCATGATTTCTTACATTTTATAGTGTTCATGGTAGAGATTTTTCACTTCTTTGGTAAATTTATGCCTAAATATTCGATTTTTTGATGGCTATTGTGAATGGGACTTTTTTCTTGATTTCTCTTGCCCAGTTCATTACTGATGTACAAAAAGTTACTTTTTTTGTATGTTGGCTTTCTAACCTTAGACTGTATTCATTTATCAATTCAAATGCTTTTTGCTAGAGTGTTTAGGCTTTTCCATGTACACTATGTCATACATGTCAACAGGGATGTTTTGACTTCCTCCTTTGCAATTTCAAAGTTCAATTTCTCTTCCCAAATTGTGCCTCAAACTTCCAATACTACATTAAATAAGAGTGATGAAAGTGGGCATCAAAGCAACTTAAGTCTGTCACACTAGCTTTCTTGGTGGAAATACACTACTACTTTCAGGAAGGGACACGGGTGCTGAAATTGCACCAATGTTAAGAACTTAAAAAAAAAAAGAGGGAAGGAAACTCCAACTTTTAAGAATTTTTTTTAAAGACTTATTTATTTAAGAGGCAGTTACAGAGGGAGAGACAGAGAGAGAGAGAGAGCTCCAATCCTCTGGTTCACTCCCCAAATGGCCACAATGGCTATAGCTGAACGGATCTAAAGCCAAGAGGCAGGAGTTTCTTCTGGACCTCCCATGTGGCTGCAGGGGTCCAAGCACTTGGGCCATCTTCCACTGGTTTCCCAGGCCATAAACAGGGAGCTGGATTGAAAGTGGGGCAGCCAGGAATTGAACTGGCACCCATTTGGGATACCAGCACTGTAGGCTGAGGCTTAACCTTCTACACCACAGTCCCAGGCCAAAGATTTATGATTTTGAAATAGATTACTGCTGAGGTTTCTCTTCCCCAACCCTCTGAGATTCATCAAAATTCTGGCAGTCATGTGTCGCCACACTAGTCTGGGTTTGCTCATGTAGAGCACACTTGTTGAGATCTCTCGGGATACTGTGCTCACATGGCCCAAAGTGAACAATTCTTTGAGCAACATGAAAAACTTCTGTGATACTAGTTTTCTTAAACAGTATCTACTAACTTAGAATAGGATTATCCAAAAGTTAATAGCAAGCAATTTAACCACTTTAGAAACACGGAGAGAGATGTGGAGAGTAATCCTACTAGGGCAAGATTCTTAACTGCAGTGTACACACACATACACTTTTGTCACCTATGGTGAGATTACTTTACATGAGGAATTCTTGCAGTAAGTGAAATGCTTCTTGCAATAAAACTACCACCTGAAAACATTACTGTACATCACTCTTGACTATTCCTGACTGTTGGTTCTCAGTATAGATACAAAGCACATAAACAAATATCGTGGTGCCAAGTGGCTGAACAGAAGCTAAAAAAGAACCATGCAGTTCAGTACTCGGCAACACAACCAAGATGTATGACCCAGTATTTGAAGCTTATTACAAGATTACTTTTAGGGGATCTCCCCACGGGGAAAGGAACCTTTACTATTTCTTCTCCCCCTAAAATGGATCCAGAGCAATTAACCAATGTTACCGCAGTGAAGAAGTTTGGACCCTGCTGTCTCAGCCGTGTCCTGAGGAGGGTGCTAGTGAGCACCTGCCACAGGGCTGCTTTCCACCATCGAGAAACTTCCCAGGGCCGCATGGACCCCCCTCATGAGAGGGCACAGAGAGCAGAGACTCTACCAAAAGTAGACACCAACCTATCCCACTGCTGTTGATGTGATCGCATTTATCTAGCTTATCCTTTGACCTCCCTGATACAAAGAATGATCGGCTCAGTTCATAACCAACAAAGAAGAGATAGCCTGGCACTTCTCGAAGTAAAGTGCTTGAGAGTCCGTGGAATACTTGAAGATATACCTTCAAGTTAAGGCTCTTCAGAATAAGGGTATCAGCTTTATACATACATAACTCACTCTGTCTTCCTGGAAATTTAAAACTGGGAAGGAGGAAGGGTGTTCTTTTCCTGGGTGACTCACAGGCAGTACTCAATGTTGAGGTAAGAGAACGCCCTTCTGGGCCCAGCACTGTGGCTTTGCTGGTAAAGCCACTGCCTGCAGTGCTGGCATCCTAATAGACATCAGTTCCAGTCCCAGCCGCTCCACTTCTGCTCCGGCTCTTTGCTATGGCCTGGGAAAGCAAAAGAGGATGGGCCAGGTCCTTGGGTGACTGCACCTGCATGGGAGGCCGGTAAGAGGCTCCTGGCTTCAGAGCTCTTGGCCCAGCTCAGGCCATTGCAGCCATTGGGGAATGGGCCTGAGGATAGAGAACCTCTCTCTCTGTGTGTGTGTGTGTGTGTCTGTGTGTCTGCCTGCCTCTGCCTATCAAATAAATAAACT